CTATTTGGCCGGCCCCCTATTTTTTTTTTTTTTTTTTTTTGTTTTTATTTTTTTGGCAGAACCAGGGATTGAACTCAGGCCCTTGCACTTGTCAGGCAAGCGCTTACTCTACTGAGCTATCTCCCTGGCCCCTTTTTTTTCTTTAAAATAAATTTTTAAAAATATTTGTCTTTATTACAAAATTATAATAAACCAACTCTAATATGCTTACATGAAATACATGGAATCATTTTTATTACACGATATTTTGGGTGCTATTAGCTGGTGTTTTGTTTTTTTCTTTTCTTAAGTATAGATTGAACCGAGATTATTCTACTCCTGAGTATATTCCCAACCCTTTTTATTTTTTTATTTTGAGGCAGGGCCTAAGTTGCCCTGGCTAGACTCAAGCTCTTAATTCTTCTGCCTGAGTAGCTAGAATTACAGGTGTATGCCACCAGGCCCAGCTGGTAACATATTTTGATTATTATAGAAAATTAGAGGTTTTGGGTCTTTGAGGAGCAGAGGAAAAAAAAGAAACGTGGTACTGTTTAACATAAACCTTCCGCACTGGGCTATTTTGTACCATTGAAAGCTCTAAAAGGTTCTCTATCAGTAGTTTATAACCTTTGATTCCTAAAATCTGTGTCACCTGTCCCTTTTTGTTTGGTTTCTCTATCTTTTTTTAGGGTCTCACTATGCAGTTCAGGCTGGCCTTGAACTTTCTGTGTAGCCAAGCTAGCCTTAAACTCATAGCAATCCTGTCTCAGCTTCCTGAGTGCTCCGGTTACAGGCATGCACCACAATGCTCAGCTCCTTGTGTCCTTTGTTGTCTGAACATTTCAGAGTACTCATCACTTTTTCAGACTTCAGTACTGTTTCAAGTCCCTCCAGTATGTTCAACCTGTAAACTATCTGTTGGGCCTTGGAGTTCTTCATATGTTTTATAACTTGTAGCTATAGGAGCTCATCTTTAATGGTACTTAGGTTTTTTTTGTTTTTGGTTGTTTTTTTTTTTAATAATTTATGTATTTATTTAATGTCTGTGTGTGGCCAGCTCAGCCCACCAGGAGGCGGGGCTGGCTGGCATGTGATGCTGGATGATTGAACCCGTCCCTGTGCTTTTGCTTAGCTTGTTCTAAGTAGGTGCTTTAGACCACTGAGCCATCTCACCAGCCCTTTAATGGTACTTTGGAAATATTCCATGTATGGCTTGGGCTGGGAACCTTTCAAGTTGGCTTCTGATTTGCCTCCACCTGAGAGCCAGATTCATTAGGTTGGATGGAATTTTTGGTTGATTTTACAATGGAGCCAGTGAATAGTGTGTTTGAGGCTCCAGGTTTCCTAGTACCAAACAACAGAAGGTAGCTTTTAGGTCTAAACACAACTCAATATGGATTCTAAATGTTCAAGGACTAATTTGTAAGATCTTGAGGACTGATCTCTGAGCAACACAAAACCTAAATTCACCCTATTCACTGGCTCAATTGTATTGGTCAGAGATCAGAGGTCAAGATCTTATTAGGGTGGGCCAGATAGCTCAGCTGATTGAAGTCCTGGCAGGCAGGTGCAGACCTGCTGTGCAGCCCCCTCCCTACACTGAGACTGCAATTGAGACTGGGCGTGGTGGCGCAGGCCTGTAATCCCAGCTCTTGGGAGGCTGAAACAAGCGTATCACTAGGAGTCCTAGCTAGTAGTGAGACCATGAACACCCTGCAAACCCTTCCTTAAAAAAAAAATAAAAATACAGAAAGATCTTACTAATTAGACTTGGAACATTAAGTGTCCGTATTGAGTTGTATTTAGAACTAGAAGCTACCTTTTGTTGTTTGATACTAGGAAACGTGGAGCCTCAAACATGCTATGCAAGTACCCTAGCACTGAGCAACATTCTCAGGCTTTTATATTTTTTGAGACAAGGTTGGACTATGTTGCCCAGGCCAGCCTTGAACTTGATCCTCCTGTCTCATCCTTTCAAGTAGATGATATTGCAGGGACTTACTACTGTACATCCCTAGAGCCCAAATAGGCTGTCAACAGCCACCCCCAAGATCTTAGTGAAATTAAGCTAGTTCCAGCAAGCTAGAACTACCCCTTTTAACATTTCTGCTTGTCACCCCATCTTTATCCTTTCCTCCTTTCCTTCTTTGGGTTATTTGGATTTTTTTAGAATTTCACTTATCTGTTGGGGTTTTTTTAATTGTTTTTTGGCATTACCTTTTGGGATTGCATTTTGATTTGGGTTTTGGTTTTCTGGGATTGGGAAGAGTTTGCTAGTTTGGTTTAGTTTGGCTTTGGTCTTGATTTTTTAAGACAGGGTCTCAAAAAAAGTTGGGTATGGTAGGGCACACTTATAGTCCCAGCACTTGGAAGGCTGCGGGAGGAGGCCAGCATGGGCTACACCATGAAACCCTGTCTTTTTTTTCCCCCCATCTTTTTTTTTTTTTTTTTTTGAACTGGGGATTGAACTCAGGCCCTTGCACTTGCCAGGGAAGTGCTTATTCCACTGAGCCATCTCCCTGGCCCCACCCCCCATCTTTTTGAGACTAGATCTCCATGTACAGTTCAGGCTGGCCTTGAACTCGCTGTGTAGCCAGGCTGGCCTTGATATCTAAGCCTCTGGAGTGTTGGGATCATAGGTGTGTGCCACATGCCCAGCTAAATTACCTTTTTAAAAAAGTTATTTATTTAAATTATTTATTTATTTGGTATAGGTTCTCACTACACAGATTAGACTCATAGTGATCCTCCTATCTCAGCCTTCCCAGTGCTGGGATTATAGATGTGTGCCACCACACCCAGTTGCAGTGGTCAGCACCCAGGTCCTTGTACTTGCCAGGCAGGCACTTAGATCTTAGACCACCACGCTATCTCCCTGGGTCTGAATTATCATTTGAATGGTTATTCTAACGGTTGCAGTATACATCCTTAATTTCACTAAGATCTCTGGGGTGGCTGCTGATAGCCTCCCATTTGGACTCTAGGGATGCATTGTTGATGGCTGGCACAGCAGCCAGGAGGGTAACGTGGGACATCCTTAAAGGGTTGTCTGAAGAGACATTACCACAATTACTGACAATATTGAGCATTGTATATCCCTTATTATCCTCACTGACCATAGCCCTGTGAAAGTCAGTACAGTACCTTCTGCAGATCAATCAGTGGCTGAGGCCAAGGTCAAGTGAAGAGATATACTCAGACAACCTTGGCTCCAGGATCTGCCTGCTTAGCTGTCTATCACTGCCAGCAGGAACTCCTGCCAGATGCTTAACCACAGCTCTGTGACCAACCCCCTTGTCTTTTTTCTTTCTTTCTTTCCTTTTTTTTTTTTTTTTTTTTTTTTTTAGGTATATAAAAGAGCCAAGGCACTGGACCAGTCCGACAATGATATGTCTGCCGTGTACCGAGCCTACATACACTAAGCTGTAGATGCGCTACCCCACCCCTCTGATCTTCCCTTAGGCCCCTCTTCCCAAAATGGGGTTGGGGTCCTGGGATTTAACTCTGGACCAGTCCACCTGTCTCCATTTCCTTTTATACAGACTTGAGACTTGCCATCAGCACAGCACACAGCAGTACCTTCCTCTCTGATGCCCTGGGAGGGAGGGATGTCACTAGGATTGGCTTGTGAGGAAGGAAACTCTTGAGCCTGGGCACTGGCCCCAACTAGGTGGCCATACTTACGTGTACACACACACACACACACACACACACACGTACACGTACACGTACACGTACATGTACGCGCTCTCACCCCAGGATAGGAGCTGCCCAGAAAACTGCTGCTGCCTGGCTTTTTTTCTTCCACGCTTGTCTCATCAAAACCCTTCCAGTTGAGGAACTAAAATCAATAGAGGTTGACATTGTGTCCTAGTCCCTACCTGGACCCCTGCAGGGAGAGGGTCAGGGCCAGAATGAACCAGCATTGACTCCCAGCAGCGGTTCCTATGGGCCCTCCAGCCTCAGCTGAGGAGGATTTTCAAGTCTAAGCCACCGATGTGCACCCACCTCTTGTAGAAGCTTTTGTAAACTGAGAAGAGACTGCCACCATCTCACACAGGCGATCTTGGCTCTGCAGCAAGCAGCCGGGCTGCAGAGGAGCACAGCTGCCTAGCTTCCCAGCTGCTGCTCAACCCCCATGGGCTGCAAGCCTCAGCTGGGTCGAAGGTCCTGGCTTCCCTGCAGTGGGAGCTTGCTCCTCACGAGGCTGTTTTAGTGCTTGGATTTGCATTCCAGCCCTTGGGAAGAGTGCCCTCAGGACCCTGAGCAGTGGAGAATGAGAGCCACTCCTTCCTGTTTCCGTTATGCCACCATCTTCACCTGGCTCTGGAGACCCACTGAGCTGGCCAACATGGCCCAGCCTGCCCTGTGCAGGTCTTCTGCATACCCCATCTCTCTTCACTCTTCTACTTTTCCTCCCATCGAGACAGTATTTCTGTCCTACCTTTGGCTCAATCCCAGCCTGACCAATGATGAGCATTTCTTAGACTCACTTCTTGATAAGAGAATGAGTGTCTGTCCCAGCCAGCATCACACTGTTCAGTGCTGCCCAGGCCAAGGTTTGCCAGCTGGGGGAGAACTGGGCCTGACCTCATGAACTGACCCTCAGCTGTGGAACTGGGACATCCTTGAGGCCCTTACATTTCTCCTTGGATAGGGGACCAGTGGCTTAGAATGTTACCTGAGAACAAGGAGGAGTTACCCCAGGAGATGTCAGCATTTTCTCCCTCTCATGGGGTGGGTTTTCCAAAGTCACAATTTACAGTTTAACAGTGCAGGGTGGCCACACTGTTGGGGGCAGGGAAGATGTCCACGGGGGTGCAGAACACTTGTTCATTTCACTGGGATTTTGAACTCATTTGTCTGAACACAGCCTGTCTTAGTCTTGGTGGACACACTGAGGGTGGGGGTGGGGGAAGGCACTGTAATGAAACTGGTTAGTCAATGTTGTCTTAATACTGTTGAGAATTCTGTAAAGTTTCTTTTTATGAGTATTTCTGTTTAAGCTATTTCACCTTTGTTTTAAAATCTTCCCCTTTAAGGAGAAAATGTGACACTTGTGAAAAAGCTTGTAAGAAAGCCCCTTTTTCCTTTAAACCTTTAAATGACAAATCTAGGTGATTAAGGTTGTGAGTTTTCATTTTTGCTTTGTTTTTAATGAACATTTGTCTTTCAGAATAGGATTGTGTGATGTTTAAATGGCAAAAACATGATTTTGTGCAATTAACAAAGCTACTGCAAGAAAAATAAAACATTTCTTGGTAATACGGTTGTGCCGCAGGAGCGCGCTACGCTTCCTTGGGTACGCGCCGCCTCTGGCCACCAGTATCCAACCAAATCTTGCTTTCCTGGGGACACCGGGGCGGGACAAACAGGGCGTAGCCAAGTGAGCCAATGGGAGGCTAAGTAAGAACGGGCCATTCTGGGCCAGTCAGTGAACAGACCAGGGCCAAGGGCGCAGGCCGGCGGCCTTCTGCGCGAGCTTGGCGCGGTGGCTCTCGAGGCAGGTGCGGGCGGCGTAATATATGCAGCCTCTATCTGGGGACCCCCACCGGTCTCGTGAGTTGTCGGCCAATTGCCGACTCGAAGACAGCCTGGGGGGTGGGGCTGGCACCCGCTCCGCCAATCGGCGCCGAAGGTAAAGACCAGCGCCGCGTACCGTCGGGAAGACGGCAGGGACAGCGCTGGGCAGCAGCTGCGACGATGGCGACGGTGATGGCAGCAACGGCAGCGGAGCGGGCGGTGCTGGTGAGTGAGCAGGAGGGCGGCGGGCGGCGGGCGGCGGGCGGCGGGCGGCAGGCCGTTACCACCGCGCTATCCGCAGGAGGAGGAGTTCCGCTGGCTGCTGCACGCCGAAGTGCATGCCGTCCTGAGGCAGCTGCAGGACATTCTCAAGGTAACACAGCCCCCGGACCTTTGCACTCGCTGTGCTCCGCCTACCTTCCCATTGAGTCCTCGTCACTGAGTGACTCCGCGGCTGTTTCCTGGGCGTCCTTACAGTGCTAGAAGCAGTGGTGTGGATGAAACCCCCGCCTTAGTGAACAAACGCTAGTGAGCCCTCAGCACAGCAGCTCTCAGTTAACCCCAGCAGTTGTGAGGATACAACAGTAGCTACTCCTAGAGCAAGCCCTTTAGCTCCAACAAGGCTTTCTTTGAAGCTGTGATTCTCTACTTTAGGAGCTAAGGATTTCTGGCCTTTCCCCAGTGCAGTGTGATCACAGCCAAGTTACTCAAACCTCTCTGGGTTCCTTTCTCATTTCCAAAAATATGTAATTATGTTGCTGTGATAATAAACCAATTGGTTTTCTGTGGTCTAGACAGTGCTCCCCACACCCAGAAACTCAGGTCAGCTAGGAGGCCGCTCTGTCCTACTTTTCCCCTGAGAAACACAGTGAGTGCTCAGTGTGGAATTATCAGATCTGAGCTCTTTGGGACTCTGCGGCTCAAGCTGGAAGTATGGCCACCCCACCATCAACCCACCCCATAAGCCCCAGGTCAGGCTAGCCCACCTGTGCTTTCCCCAGTTGACCCAGGCGTCGGAGCCTCAGGAAGTAGCTCTGGCTGTTCTGTCTCCCATAGGAGGCCTCCCTGCGCTTCACGCTACCAGGTTCAGGCTCTGAGGGGCTTGCCAAGCAGGAGAACTTCATCCTGGGCAGCTGTGGGTAAGCTGGGCAGAAATCCAAAGGAGCCTTGGTGGGGGTGCTTGGGGATGGGCAGCATGGCTGCAGCTGTACCTTGCAGACTGATGTGGGTGTGTGGTGCATTGTGGAACAGCCAGGCTCTAGGCAGCAGCAGGAGGGGCCAGGAGCTACCCCCCACCCCGACACCCATGTGTTGTATGTAGCACAGATCAGGTGAAAGGTGTGCTGACCCTGCAAGGAGATGCCCTCAGCCAGGCGGTGAGTCCTCCAAACCCTCTCCCCTTCCCATCTGCCAGTGGGAACAGGATGGGGGCTTCCTGCTTAGCTCTGCCACCAGCCAGCATCATGATTCCAGACAGGAACCCTGACTTCTCTGACAGCAACCCCTATACTTCCTTGTGGGATTGGAGTGTGGGTCTTGTGAGAGTTGAAGGAAAGCTGTTGCTTGTCCTATCCTGTACCCAGTCAAGCATGATATTGGCAGGATCCAGCTGGCCCGGGATTAACGTTGAATCAGCCAACATCTGAGCACCAATCTGCACTCAACCCTGGGCCAAGCACCAAGGCATAGGGGAAGGTGCTTCTTCTTCATGCCTTCTGTCCCTTGGTCACCATCATGTGATGACTACCTTCTCCACCACCCTTCCCCTTTCTCCATCTCTTTTCCCTTTTTCCTCTTTGGGCTCCTCTTGGGCCTGAGCTCCCATTTTCTGACCTTTTCATTCTCCACCGGGATCTGTAGCTGAGACCTCAGGAGCCACTCACCTGTGGAGGGGTAGAAACCTGGTACAGGGGTTTAGAGTAGAGAGAATTATGAAGATTTCCCCTGCCCCGCTTTTCTCACTCTCCCCATCAGGATGTGAACCTGAAGATGCCCCGGAGCAACCAGCTCCTGCACTTGGCCTTCCGGGAAGACAAGCAGTGGAAGCTACAACAGGTAGCCGCAGGTGCAGGAGGGGTGAGCAGGAGGAGGTGGCTGCCCTGGGCTGCCTTGGAGGATTTAGAGCCGAAGCTTATTTGGGAGTGTTTCCTAGCAGCAAAGCACAGCCTTCTCTGCTCAGGGAATGGAGAATCTGTTCTGCTTGTAGGCCCTCAGGCCCAGCTGGAGAGCTGACATTCCCCTCCCTGCACAAGCCACTCCCCTACTCAGCCTCCAGGCACTTCCTGTGGCTAAGGAACCAAACCTAGACCCAGCTGATTTCTACCAGCTCCAGCCAGCTCCTTTGAGGCCACCTCACAGGCTTCCTTTGTGTTCCTGCCCTACTATGTTGGTGTCCTCCAGGGTGGTTTTTCAGGCTTGTCACTGCCTGTCTGTCCTCTAGTTAAGTTACTTGAGGGCAGAGAACAGGGCTGCTTCAGCCTCTGAAAGTCCAGGCCTGGCTTCTGGGGCACAGAGAGCAGCTTCTGGGTGGAGTGGGTAGGTCAGGCTGCAGCCCTTTCACCCAGGGTCAGGCCCAGGGTGGCTCTGTCCTGGAGCTGTGCTGTGTGCTGTGTCCTAGAGCCATGTTAAGGAGCTAGGATAGAGAAGACCCAGCCTAGTAACTGCTGGATGGATGCTATTTTCAGATCCAGGATGCCAGAAACCATGTCAGCCAAGCCATTTACCTCCTCACCCACCGAGATGAGAGCTACCAGTTCAAGACAGGTGCTGAAGTCCTCAAGGTGAACAGCCCTAACCCAGCCTGGGCCCCTGACACCTCTGCCCCTGTGCTTTGTGGTCCTGTGACCTCATGCCTAGTGTTAGCATATGGCTTTTTCCTCCATGTTCACATGTACCCATGCAGCATAGCGGCTCCCAACCTGGGATACAGTCCCTGGGCCCCAGCTGTAAGCTGTGCAACCTAAAGTCACACTGTACCTGTGTTTCCTCATCTATAAAATAGGGACAAGCTATAGCAGTTGTTAACTGTGGTAATGCAGATAAAGTGGCCTCCAACAAGTGCCAAGCAACTTGTACTCCTTTAGCAGTTATAATAGCTGTAAAAGTCTTTAAATTAATTATAAAGTAGAAATTGGGTGTGCTGATGAATGTCTGTAATCCCAATACTCAGGGAAGTTGAGACAGGAGAATTACAACTTGGAGCCCAGACTGGACAGTTTAACAATTTAGCAAGACCCTGTCTCAAAATATTTAAAAATAAAGTCTGGGGATACAGCTCAGTGTGAGGACCTTGGGTTCACTCCTCAGTGCACTACTAAAAGGAAAAAAAGGGGGGGGCCAGGAGGATGGCTCAGTGGAGTAAGCGCTTCCCTGCCAAGTGCAAGGGCCTGAGTTCAATCCCCAGTTCCGCGGAAAAAAACTACAAAGTGAGGCCACACAACTTTGAGAGCTGACTTAGATACCTGTGATTTGTGCCTCACTTCTACCCCTAATTTGCTATGAGCTGTAGGACCTCCAAGAGGCAGTGGACGCTGGGACTCGGAAGTAGCCCAAGACTACTTCTACCCATCACCTAGGGAAGAAAGGCCTCCAGATGACTTCCCTGCCCGCTGTGACTGGGCCCACCCTTTGGAGCCTCAGTTCCCTCAACTGCAAAAACTCAAAACCTCAACTCAGCCATCCTGCCACCTCTTCCAGGATGCTCTCTCTAGCCAGCAGGACCCAAAGCATATTCAGGCTCCTGCTGAGTGCTTCATTGCTATCTGAAAAGCCTGTACTCTGGAACTTACCTCCCAGAGTCCTCAGGACCCCCACACAGGACCCCCACACAGAACCTCCTCAATGGCGGCTACCCCTGCTGGGGCTGTGGGATTCAGGCATGAAAACCCTGACACCCCAGCAGGATTGGGGACTAGGCTTGATCAGTAGCTATAACTCCCATCTCCCCAGCTTATGGATGCTGTGATGCTACAGCTGACCAGAGCCCGCAACCGCCTCACCACCCCAGCCACCCTCACCCTGCCTGAGATCGCAGCCAGTGGCCTCACGGTCAGTGCCTCAACCAACCCCTCCCTGCTGCCAGAGGGCCCCCATTTACCCCTGGGATGGGTCTGTGGCTAATCAGAGTCTGTGGAGTTTCTTGGTGGGGTTCTGGGTCTCTGTCCCCTGTCCACCAAATGTGTTAAAATGCTCAGCCAGGGGCCAGGGAGATGGCTCAGTAGAGTAAGCGCTTCCCTGGCAAGCGCAAGGGCCTGAGTTCAATCCCCAGTTCCGCCAAAAAAAAATGCTCAGCCAGGATCCCACACCAACAGCACAGGAGGATCCCAAGGCACTTTCCTAGGAAAAGTCTAGAATTCTCAGTCAGTGGGAGGAGCATCTGGGAAGAGACTGGGATCCCCATTTGGTGATTATGCAGAAGCTGGGCCCTCAGATGTGCAGCCTAGGGTGAGCAGGACCTCACCCCGCTCTTGCCTCCCACCAGAGGATGTTTGCTCCTACCCTGCCCTCCGACCTGCTGGTCAATGTCTACATCAACCTCAACAAGCTGTGCCTCACTGTGTACCAGCTACATACCCTGCAGCCTAACTCCACTAAGGTGAGTGAACCCTTACCACATGCTGTGCCTACCCAAAGCCTCAGGAAGCCTCACCAGGTTGTGTGTCCATCTAGAACTTCCGCCCAGCTGGAGGTGCAGTGCTACACAGCCCAGGAGCCATGTTGTAAGTACACAGGGGTCCTGGCATACCTCCTCCCCTGCTGCATCAGGCATTGGGCCCAGACCCACTCAAGGGACCTGCCTCTCATTCCCCAGTGAGTGGGGCTCACAGCGCCTGGAAGTCTGTCATGTACACAAGGTGGAGTGCGTGATCCCCTGGCTAAATGATGCCCTGGTCTACTTTACGGTCTCCCTGCAGCTGTGCCAGCAGCTCAAGGACAAGGTAGGTTGGGATGCTGTGGGGGACCAGGGCTTTCACCACTACCACCCTGACCACCTGCAGAACTGCTGAGCCCTTTTGTCTCAGGGAGAGGGATCCTAGGGACTCTTGTCATACCTCCTAAGTGTCCCCAGTCTTAAAGTCCAGTGTATTCACACACTAGGCAGCTAGGTCATGGTGCCACTGGGGGCCTTGGAGGTTGCAGCCCACACCACAGCATTCTGCTAACCATGTCCCTCCCCCAACAGATCTCCGTGTTCTCCAGCTACTGGAGCTACAGACCATTCTGAGCTGAGCACTGTGTCCCAGGAGCCTATTCCCCAGAAGAGTGGCCCTTGCCAATAGAATCCCTTTTCCCTTCCACACACTCCTCAAAGTATTATTTATCTTCCTTCTCAGCTGCCCTGCCCCTCATGTTTGCACTGCTGCTGCTAGAAGGAAAGACACTCGCTGGTTCGATGTTTGGTTGAGGTTTTGTGTCAGGAAGGTGGGCCCAGCCCTGCCCTCCCAGGCATTGTGGGAACCTTTGGACTCAGGGTGTGGCCAAGCCAGGCCTTCTGTCCAGCTGCCACAGGGTGGTGGGGAGCAGCCACTGAGCTGCTGAGGGAGGCTGTGGGTGGAGCCCTGAGCAGTGAGTTGGGAGGGGAGGAAAAGGGCTGCCTGCTGAGCTGGTCTGTGAATGAGCTGTAGGGCTGGGACATTTGTTCTGAAGCCTCAACACACAGCCTCTAAGAAATAAAATCAGACTTTGCCTGGAGTCCTTGTCTGTCTGTGGGGAAAGGGCTGGATCTCCCTACTTTTCAGTGGCCTCTGTTCCCACAGTTCCCACAGCCTGGTTTCCCCACAAACCTACCTTTGAGATAGGGTTCCCTGGCTTCAGTAGGGCCAGACAGGATGGGGACAAGAGGTCAAGCCCTGTCTCTGACCATGAGCTGGGTGAGCAAATGAGACACTCTGAGATCTTTGTGGGGCACTGAGTCCCCATGCTGCCCACCTGCAGGGTCGAGAGACACAGTCCAGGCTCAGGCTCACAGCAGATAAGCTTTGTTTGGCACCAGGACACATGCCAAGGGACTAACATCAGGGTTCCATGGCCAAGTTATCCATTCCCTTGAGCCTTTCCTGCAAAAGAGGTACAGACAGGGCCTTGTGGCAGCCACTCCTTGATCCCAGCGAGCCTGCTCCTCACCTCTGCCCTGCACAGGACCAGTATATCCCCCCAGGATCCACTTCCAGGCTCACCTTCCCGGGTCTCCCTTTCCGGGGCTTGGAGGAACAGCAGCAGTGACAGCAGCAGTGGGCAATGACCAGCAACAGCAAGAGCAGCACGGTGCCTAGGGACAGGGCAGTTACCACATGTTGCCCCAGCGCAGGACTGATGGGGGCAACCTGGAGGCAGTGGCCACACTCACCCACAAAAGTAAGAAAGACCACAAAGGCAGCAGTGTCCCACTCAGACTGGAACAGCCGGTGGCTCTTCAATCTCCCCAGCACTTCCTGAGCTGTGGCCTCCAGCTCCTCCATGGACAGACTCATTCCAGCCAGAGCCACCTATTGGTGGAGGCCCCCCAGAAGGCACCTCAGAACAGGCCTGGCATCCTCCTGCTGCGTCACCTCTCTTGCCACACCAATCCCAGTTTTTCTCCCACTTCTCAGCAGGCCCCATCCTAAGCAGCTTCCACCCCAGCCACCATCATCCCTCTTTTCAATCCTGAGCAGATTGCCCCCACCTGCCACCCCTACCAGTGGCCAGGAAACTTACCCACCTGGTGCACCCTCCTCCCGAGCTCGGCTCACAGCCTGTTTCCTGCTTCCGGATCTATTACACCTGAGGCCTTGGCAACCAGCTCCGCCTCCCAGGGCTTCAGAGCCCCAGTAGGGAGCCTGTGGCCCTAGGGCACAGGCTCACCTGCTGCTGCTTTCTCTGTCTTTATGGTTGGTTGGTTTTTTAGTGTTCTGAATCTATTAGAATAGGTGGGCACTAAGCCATTATTGACTTTCTAGGTGAAAGACAAGGGAGAGGAGCACGCAGGCAGGGAAAGGGAGATAGGAAGGAGGAAAGGCTTGTACTGGGTCCTGTCCCTCACCTGGGCAGTAGTTTTCCTTAACACTTAATTCTTCCCCCCCCCCCCCCCCCCCGAACCGGGGATTGAACTCAGGGCTTTGTGCTTGCCAGGCAACTGCCTATTCTACTGAGCTATCTCCCCAGCCCCTAGTGGTTTTCCTTAAAAGTAGTCTTTACAAAGAAAGTCTCTCAGATGAGCTCCTTCCCTAAAACCCAGTGTCTGGGGCCCTTGAGCCTGACACCTCTAACGCTCCCCAGGAAAGCAGCTCTCTTCTGCTTTCATGGTCTGTCAGCCTAGAGATGGGGCTGTAAACCAGGTGGACACAACTTCTTGATCATGTGGCTTTCATGAAAAAAAGAAAGAGAACACCTAATGTTAGTGCTGCCCCTCCTGCTTATATACCTTACCTCATATTGATCCTAAAGTGGGTATTTGTGCTTTTCCCAGGCCAGGTCACAAATAAGAAAACAGGTCTTAGTGAAGTTAAAGCAGCCGGCCCAGGTCACACACCTAGTATGATCATTTCCCCTTGTTGCTATACCATACTATGACAAGTTCAGTAGCTTCAAATAGCACAAATGTATTATCTTATAGCTCCAAAGGCCAGAGTCTAACATGAGCTGATGAGGCTGTGTAAAGGAGAATCTATCCCTTGCCTTTTTGTCTTTATAACCATCCACACCTGAGCTTAAACTGGTTATCCAAACCCTCTCTGCCTCAGTTTCCTTACCTATAAAATCACCCCCATGTTGGGAAGATTCACTAAGGCAACAGTTGATGTTTGAACTTTCACCAACCTGATGGATGCCTCTTGGCTTCTACTGGGGCTGTTTCCCCCAATTTTCACATGTACACATCAATCCACACAGGGTGGAACCTCTTGGAGGACATGTTTCTTCTACCCAGAGGCCTCTTTTTTTTTTTTTAAGCACCGGGTCTACAGGAGACACTCCATAGATCAGACTTGTAGTGATCCTCCTGTTTTCAGCCTCCCAAGCGCTGGGATTACAAATGTATACCACTACACCCAGTCTTAATCACCATCTCAACACACCCTGGGGGCGGGACCAGCACAGCATTCTGGGAACAAACCTGGGCCGCTCTGCTCTGCCTAAGCAGGCGCTTTAATCCACTGAGCTATCTGGCCAGCTCCTGAGGCCTCTTTCCTTAGGGCGTGTCCCCAGAGGTACAGCCTGCTTCTGTTCCACTCCACCCTCTGGTCACTAGAATCATGGTGTCCTCCACCAACAATGTCCTCAGTAGGTATGGTTGCAGTGGATCCTGCAAGACTTCCTGTTGACTGTGGCCCTGTGACTGGGCAAGCTCTGCTGTATCCTCAGCCCCACCCTTGCCTGCTCCACATTCTGAGCCCTTAGAGTTAAGCCTGGGTTGTCTCACCCAGGAGTGAGGGCAGTGGGAGGGAGCAGACAACCCAGGACAGTGCCACAGTGAACAGCTTGGCAGCAGGGCATTGGGGATTAAGCGGGGTGCACACCCCAGTGCAGTGTATCTATAAATAGCACTGTGCTAAAACAGCTGTCCACCTACAAGTTGTCTGGAGAATTGAACAGTGGTTGCAACAGAGACTTTGGGACCAGCAAAGTCTGAAATAGGAACTGTCTGGCCCACGACAGAAAATGTTCCCTGAGGCCAGAGACAAAAGACTGCTCAGAGTTTGCAAAGGCAAGCACCAGAGAGCAAGTAGAAAACAGTGAGAGATAAACTGCGTGAAAGACCCATCATCAGAGAGACAGGGCTGAGTAAGGACTGAAGAAATGAGAATTCTGGGCTGGGAATGGAGCTCAGTGGCCGCACACACAGGGTCTTGGGTACCTCCAGCACACAGAATGCATGAATGACCAGAAGCAACAAGGACTTCTCCTTAGCCGGGGAGATGGTGCAGTAGAATAAGTGCTTCCCTGGCAAGCACAAGGGCCTGAGTTCAATCCCAAGTTCCACCTAAAAGAAAAAAAAAAAAAAATCAGGTACTTTATTGATGGTCTTCCTTGCCCACCTTCCTTTTTTATTTTTTTTTTATTTTATTTTATTTTATTTTTTTTTTTGTGGCCTTTCTTACTAAGCTACACCATCATTACCCCTTATTTTTTACGGGGTTTCATTTGGTTTTGGTTTTCTTGTCTTTTGGGGACATCTCACTATGCAGTTCAGGCTGGCCTTGTGCTCACTTTATAGCCCAGGCTGGTCTGGAACTGACAACAGTCCTCCTGCCTCAGCCTCCTGAGTGCTGGGATTACAGGTGTGTGCCACCATGCTCAGAATACCCTTTGTTTTTTTTAAATTTGAGACAAGGTCTTACTAAATCACTGAGTTGCCAAGCTACATTTGAATTAACCTGTCTGCCTTAGCATCTATGTGTGCTGGGATTATAGGCATGCTCCACCATGCCTGGCTTCTCCCATTCCCTTCTCCTTAGCCAATGCAGAATACACTGTCTTCTATCCCTAAGATGTAGGACTCTTCTCTTACCTACTTCTGCCTGGGGAACATCTTCCAACCACTCCTTACCCCTCCAGGTACTTTCAGGAACTTGTTCTGGGACCTGCTTTTCTCTGTTTCTGGCTACGTCTCTAATAGTTCAATAACCCCTTTTATTTCAGAGATCCCACAGCCTCTAGAGTTTCAGTTTAACAGCTCTGGCAGCAGTCAGAGAGCACATGCCGTCTGAAGAGGGCAGGGTGGCCCTGGCTGTCATCCTTAAGACACTGGAAACCCAGACATTCCTGTGAACAAACAGGACTCAGACAGAGGGTCAGCTATGCTTCCTGCCTCCCTATGTGTCCTTGAGCCACTGGCTTGACCTGTCTGTTTCCTGGGGGCAGCAACTGCAGTTACTGCAAAGGGTGGTGACCACTGAAGGAGGGAGCCTAGGGTTCCCAGAGCAATCCCATGCAATCTCTTGTTTTATCAATGATGCCAATAGTTGATGGACAAAAAAAAAAAAAAAAACAAGGGTCTTCTACTTTGGGGCTGTGGCTCCTGCGTTTCCTTCCCTTGGCAGAGTCTAAACCCAGCTCTGATATTTAGCAGCTGGTGCCTCAGCGGTAAGCGCTGCCCTCAGGACCTCAGCTCCCTCTCTGAGAGGGAATCATTGTGTGATTAGTCAGGGTCCCGCTGAGTACAACACTGAGCATCACAGGGTAAAGGGTCTGGAGGACGGCTGGCTATGGCACACACCTGTAATCCCAACAATCTGGAAGGCTGAAAAGGAAAAATAAAAATTCAAACCCAGCCCAGGCAATTTAGCAAGACCCTGTCTCAAACAATAAAAAAATAATTTTTAAAAAAGGCCAGACATCCAGTAGAAGGATCCTAGATTCAATCCCAAGAACCACAAAATAATTTTTTTTAAATTAATAAGTTAAAAAACAAAGATCTTAAAGGATTTGCTCACATTCCTGGGCCCCCTTCCTGCTGAGGGTGGGAAGGAGGTTGGGGGTGGGGGGTGGAGCTGTGATTCTGCAGTTAACGGCCACCCCTCCCCACCCCCTTGTACACTCCAGAGCCTTCGCTGCAAGCTCTGCAGGGACTCATCCACCAGGTGCCCGTGGTCCCCTGTGGGGCTGGCCCCAGCCTGCCTTCCTCCCAGGCTGCCCCCCCCCCCGCCCCTTGCAGCCCAGGCCTCAGCTTCTCCCTGTCTGAGTTTCTACCCTTTTCACTTCTCTCCTGCCTCTCTTTCTCCATCTCTGCCAATTCTCTGTGTCCCCTCAAGGGCAAGTGGGGCACAGCTGCCCCTCCAAGTTCCCTGCTAAGAGGAGAGTCTCTCCCATTTCCCCTACTCCCTATGGCCCCTCCAGGACTCCTAGTGGCTACAGACAGCCCTGGGGCGTTGACAAGTCTGAGTTGGCATCCTGCCTGTCCTGAGGGTGGCAAGGGCAGATCTCTGGGGCTAGGGCACCTTGGGGTGGGGTTCGGTCTCTCCCAACTGTGAGCAAAGGGGACTTGGGCTTACCTGGGTGGCATAAAGGCTGTCAGCAGCGCACTGCATTGGGTGTGCTAATGAGCACTTCTCCCAGGGTCTCCATGAGCCCCAACAGCAAAGCCTTCTTTCTATAGCCCCAAACAGGCATCTTTATGTCCTTGGTCCCATGGATACCCTGAAGGAATCCCCCTCCCCCTGCTCCTCGAGGCACAACAGCCCCAGGCCCGCACCCTGTGAGATGCCTGCCACCGTGGGCATTGAGGCAGTGCTGGACCAACTGAAGATCAAGGCCATGAAGATGGGCTTCGAGTTCAACATCATGGTGGTAGGTGAGTGAGGGGCCAAGACTCCTGAACACTGAGCTTGAATATGTCTCCTCAGCTGTCCAGCCTCAGGTCCCCATCTGTTCAGAGGTCCTGATCTTAATATGTGGTAGGAGTGTTGTCCTTGAAAATCTGTAAAACATGTACCATTAAAGACAAAAACTATCCACAAAGTTCCAAGTCAGTGACAAGGAATAATGGGGAGAGGGTCAGACTCCTGGACTTGGGCAACCCAGGTATGATCTTAATACAGTGTTAGTGATGCTGATTCAATGTGATTAGTTTATAAAATTTCACCAAACTAGCCAGGTATGATGGTATATGCTTGTAATCCCAGAATTCTGGGAATGCTGAGGCAAGAAAATAAAAAATTCATCCCAATCTGGGCAATTTAGCAAGATCCAGGCTAAAATTTTAAAAGGGTAAGGAATTAGCTCAGGGAGAAGGCCCCTAGTTTATTTACCAGTACTACCACACACACCAAAACAAACTCCTGAACTACCTATCAATGAATGAATGAACAAAATGTAGTTTAATTTCTAGTGCACTCCTGTAATTCCAGCACTTGGGAGGCTGAGGCAGGAGGATCGTCACAAGTTCGAGACCAGCCTGCGCTACAAAGTGAGCTTAATGCCAGCCTGAACTGCATAGTGAGACCCTGTCTCAAAAAGAAAAACAGGGCATATTATTTGGCCATGAGAAAGAATGACTGCCACCTACTACAAAATGAATGAACATCAGGCTGAGGAAAAGAAACCAAGCCCCAGGGGCCCCATAGTGTATTTCCACTGACAGGAAATGTCCACAATAGGTAAATCCATTTGGGACAAAAAGTAACAGTGTGTGCCAGGCTTGGGGAGGGAGAAAAGGGAGTGAGTGCTTCATAGGTGCAGGGTCTCCTTCGAGGTAGAGAAAATGTCATGGAACTGGGTAGAGGTGGTAGTTACACATGATAAACGTAGTATCACTTTACTATGTCCTTTAAAATAATAGCCAGGTGTGGTGTCACACATTTGTTATTCAGCACCATGGGCTCTGAGGCAAGAGGAGCACCAAGTCCAAACCCAGCCCGGGCAACATAGCAAGTCTCTAACTCAAAATTAAAAAAAAAAAAAAAAAAAAAAAAGAAAAAATTAAAAGATTATACTTTGGTAGCCCAGGCCTGTTATCCTCCTTCCTCAAGAAGTTGAGACAGGAGAAATAAAAGTTCAGGGCCAGCCTGGGCTGCATAGTGAGTTCAAGACGAGCCTAAACTAAATAGCAAGACCCTGTCTCCTAAAATAGGTAGATAGATAGAGAGACAGATACATAGATACATACATAGATACATACATAGATACATATATAGATACATAGATGGAGTTTTAAAGGATTGGGGATATAGCTCAGCAGTAAAGTGCCCTGGCTTTGATTCCCAGTAAAAAAACAAACAAAAAAAAACAAAAAAAACAAAAAACTGGTTTTGTGTTATATAAACTTTACCGTCATAAAGAAATGAGGAGGGCTGGTGAGATGGCTCAGTGGTCTAAAGCACCTACTCAGAACAAGCTTAGCAAAGCACAGGGACCACGGTTCAATCCCCAGCACCACATGCCAGCCAGCCCCAGCCCCTGGTGGGCTGAGCTGGCCACACATACCAACACACACACACACACACATAAATAAAAAATTTAAAAAAAAAAAAAAAAGAAATGAGGAGAACATTAAACCAAACACTTAAAATAGTATACACTTGTCAATAAACAGCTTATTTTCCAAACCTGGTAATCAGTAATCCCAGAATCTCCTAAGGTAGGAGGGTTGTCATGAGTTCAAGGCCAGCCTGAAGTACATAACGAGACCCTGTCTCAAAAGAACAAAACAGAACAGTTTATTTTCCAAAAATTATTTATGTAAGAGTTTGAGAGATGCGGCTAAAATGTGCACCTGACTGCTGTCCTCTGGTCCCTCCCAGGGCAGAGTGGGCTGGGCAAGTCCACAATGGTGAACACACTGTTCAAGTCCAAAGTGTGGAAGTCGGCTCTGCCGGGCCCCGGGGTACCCACACCCCAGACGCTGCAGCTGCACTCAGTGTCTCACGGTGAGTGAACCCTGGCTGCAGGCCACCACTTGCCTGGGCCAGCCTCACCCTCTACTCTCTCTCCATAGTCATCGAGGAGAAGGGCCTAAAGCTGAAGCTCACAGTGACAGACACACCTGGCTTCGGGGACCAGATCAACAATGACAAATGGTGGGTCTGGGAGGGCCCACTCCTGCTGCTGCTCTTGCACCTTCTGGGAAATCCCCAGCAGTGCCATCTTCCAGCCTCAGTTTCCTCGTCTGCACAGTGGGTGTCCTCAGCTCTCCTCCTACACCGTGGAGAGGGCAGTACATGCAGTTCTCTGCTGGCCACCAGTATGAAGTGGGCCGGGAATGTAGCACCAGCCTGGAAACACAAGATCCTGGGTTCAATTCCTGGTACCAAACAGATAAACAAACAAAAGGTCTTCGTGGCCACACCTCCTGAGTCAGGCTCTCCCCAGCTACGTAACCAGGACTGTTGATCCTGGAGCTCTCAGAGCCTTGGCTTCCTTCACTGTAACTTGGGAGTCAGGACACATTCACTGAGAAGAGTTGGTCACACACACACACACACACACACACACACACACCACAAGATTGGCTGCTTGCTTGTGGGGTCCAATTCAACAACAATATGGGTGCCTCTAATTCAAAAATTATTAAAACTATCAGCCAAGTACTGTATGGAGACACATGCCTATAATCTTAGTTGTTTAGAAGGCTGAGGCAGAAGGATCCAAATGTGAGCCCAACCTGGGAAACTTACCAACTTAGACCCTTTCTTAAAATAAAAAGTAAAAGTTTCTGGTGATGCGCCTCAGTGGCCAAGCAACTTTAGCTCAGTTCCCAATACCACCACCAAAAAAGCTGTGAGACCACAGGTTTCTAAGTTTGGCTCCATGAGGATGTGCTGCTGGCCTCCCAGGAAGTTGACCCCTTGCACGATGCTTTGTAGAGCACTTACTACGTGCTGAGCGCTGCTCTAGACATGGACAGTCCAGCGAGGAATAAGGCAGGTGGACACCCTGGCCTCTATGGAAGGGGAGCACAGGAGGAGAGATGATGAACAAGATCAATTTAGGGGAGCTAAACCTAAAATATATTATCCAATCAAGTCTTTGCGGGGAGGTAATGGGCATTTAACCAGGGAATGCTGAAGTATATCTCCAGCTCACTTCATTCTGAGACAAGGTCTTGCTGAGTTGTGTTGGCTGGCCTCAGACTTGCAATTCTCCTGCCTCAGCCTCCCAAGTAGCTAGGATCACAGAGGTGTGCCACTGCACGTGGCTGAATCAGAGCAGCTGTGAGCATGAAAGAGGTCCTGGTTGATGACCACACTGATGTGGGTGCTGGGCTGACCCCTGAGACAGGGAGAGGGCAGGAAGGAAAAGGGCATGGGGTGGTGTAGCACCTCGTAGGGCAGTGTAAGGACTTGGGCATTTCTTTGGCTGCTGGAAGTTGAGCAGAAAAAAGGATTCAATCTGACCTTCATTTTTTCTTAGTTTTGTGGTGCTGGAGATGGAACTCAGGGTCTCATGGATGTTAGGCAAACCCTGTACCACTGCACCACATCACCCTTCCAGAGCCCTCTTTTAGAAGATCTGTTCGAGAGGGAGGAGCCCAGAGAGAAGTCAGGAGACTCCCGCAGCAGTCTTGTGAGCATCAGTTGTGACTTGGACCAACTATGTCATTTAATGCTTACCTCTCCTGTCCAAAGCAGTTGCTGCTACTGTTCCCATTTTACAGACCAGGACATTGAGACCTCATGCTGGGAATGGTAGGGTGGGTCTCTCTATATCTTTCTGAAGATGCAGAGGATGGGAAAGGGTGATAGGGTAAGCATGGGTCACCCTAAGAGGAGACCATCCAGGGACCAGGAAGGTACAGCAGAGGTCCTGGGATGGAGATCTCAGGGATGGCATCTCCACGCCAGCTGGGAACCCATCCTGGGCTACATCAATGAGCAGTATGAGCAGTACCTGCAGGAGGAAATTCTCATCACGCGCCAGCGTCACATCCCTGACACCCGGGTGCACTGCTGTGTGTACTTTGTGCCGCCCACTGGGCATTGGTGAGGTGGTGGGACCAGGCTGGGGAGGCCCGTCTGCATGGGGTGGAGACCAGAAAAAGGGATCCCCAGGGTGGGCTTCAGCCTGCCTCTCCCACCATTCATACGTTTGACACCACTGCCACTGTTATCCCGGCCCTCCCCCGGGCAGCCTACGGCCCCTGGACATCGAGTTCCTGCAGCGGCTATGCCAGACTGTGAATGTGGTGCCCGTGATCGCCCGGGCTGACAGCCTGACCATCGAGGAGCGTGAGGCCTTCAGGAGCAGGGTGATCTGGCTGTCTAAGGGAGGATTGGGCACAGGCTGCCAGAGGGCAGAGTGGGCAGAGCAGGCTGAAGTCACCTGTTTGGTCCTCAGATCCAGAAAGACCTGAAAAGTCACTGCATCGATGTGTACCCACAGAAGCGCTTTGATGAGGATCCCAACGACAAGATTCTCAACAGCAAGATCCGGGTAAGAGGCAACAGGGGCCACAGGCTGGTGGGACTGAGGCCCGGGATCTTCCTACTCTCCCTGAAGGTCTCTACAACTAAGGGAAATGTGCATAGACAGTATTTCCAGCAGACTAGAATTGCCATTCATCCACTAACTCCACGTCTATATCCAGAGAATGAGAGGACATGTTCACAGTCTTATGTCTAACACAGAGCTTGTGTTGTGAACCTATAAAGAACTCTTACAACTCAATGATAAAAGACAACCCAATATAGAAGTGCAAGCAGGGTTGGGCATGGTGGTACATGCCTATAATCCCAGTACTCTAAGATGCTGAGGCAGATGGTTTATAGATTCAAGCCCAATCTGTGCATCTTAGTGACTTAGTAAGACTCTGTCCCAAAAATAAAAAAATTTAAAAGAGTAGGGACATAGCTCAGTGTAAAGGCCCTGGGGTCAATCCCCAGTGCCACATACATGCACACAAACACACAAAGGGAAGGGCTGAAGGTGTCACCCAGTGTAGGATGTTTGCTTAGCGTGCACATGGCCTTCAATTCAATCCTTAGCACTGCAAAAAGAAAAACAAAATGGGTGAAAGATCTGAGTATTTTATTTCTCCAAAGATCTACAAATGGCTAAAATGGGAATAAAAAAGGTGTCTAAGACCATCAGTCATTAGGGTAATGCAAATCAAGGCCACAGTGAGAAGACTACTCCATACTCATCTGAGTGGTACCTTAGTCAGTTTTCTGTTGCTATAACAGAAATCCTGAGGCTGGAAAATGTATAAAGAAAGAACCTCGTTTAGATCACAGTTCTGGAATCCAGGATGGTGTGGCCACACCTATATGGCTTCTGGTGAGGGCCTCATTCTGCTCCAAGCACAGCGGGCGCATGCAGAGGGCTGGCATGGTGGGAGAGGAGGCAAGGCAGATCCAAGCACGCCTCGCTCACTTTGGAACAACCTGCTCACCAGTACCTCACCTAGTCCCACAAGAGTAGCAGCTTGCTCTGCACACGTTACTCTACACAGAGCTCAGCCCATCCAACTCCTCCCACTGGGCTCCGCCTCCCAACACTGTGGCCATGGCTATCACCTCTGGCTGCAGTTGTTTTGTCCCTCAATTTGGATCTTCATCAGTACATGTTTGCAGTACATAATGACTACATTCCTCGGGTGCAGTTGGTACACATCCATCACACATCTTTTCTCACCCCCTTCCACACCTCTCCCTCCCATCTCCCCTTATCCCCAACTCCCTCTCATTTACAAAAGATCTACCTTCCTAGTTTCTATTAT